GGATAAAAATTGATACTAATTCAAAAAATATGTTTAGTATTATAGTATTGTACAATATTAATTTAAGATAAATAGAGAAAAAAGTTTGTGTGTGGAATGATCACATTTAAAAAAAAATTGATAGGTACAGAATAAGAACATTGTTTTGTAAAATAATTGTCTTTAGGTGTTATGCCAGATTGCATAAAAAATTGATTAATTAAAAAGTTCAAAAAAATTGATTAGGCCAAGAAATCATGTTTAAGTGGCTATTGATTTATTACATGTTTAATGATTGTTCATGTAATCCAACATTAAAATTACTTATTATTAATATATTAACTTATTCTGTATAAATTAGACCAGGGTAGCCGACCCCAAATAGTTGGGAGAGAAGGCAAAGGAAAAAAAAAAGATTCTGTATAAATTAGTAATTAAATAAGAACTAAATTTCTGTTTACCGATTGCAAAACTTCTCCAAGAGATTTCAGTTGTTGTTCAAGTTTTTCTTTTTCATTCATCATGTCAAGAATTTCTCTTCTAGTTATATTTTTGGTTTCAATTGCAGATGGCATGATTAAATAGTTATTACTTGTTAGTAAATAATATAAAATATAAAAATTGTATTATGTTAATTTTTTTTTTTTTAATTTCTGATAATGAATATATAAGATTGTTCAAAAAATATTATTTGGAAAACAATTAACTTTTATTGACATTTGATATTCTATTTATTATTACCTATCATTGATTATAAAAACTATACAGTTTTACTACAGACYTTATGGAGCATATATAGATCAAATTATTATAATTATTATATTATTATTAAATTATCAAGGCAAGTATTTTGTGATTTCGTGATATCTAAAATCAAGTTATTTTTAATTTTCGCACAGTGATTAATCGGTAATCAGTAAAATTGAATTATATATTTTTAATTCCATAAAAAAATCATTTAATTTAATCACTAATTTGTTAATAAATAATAACGACTAATTCACTAATTAGTTATTAGTTTATTACTATCAATTGGTTAGACACAATAAATTAATTAAAACTGCTTAGTCAGAATTCAGCCAAAACAAATCGTGTTAGAATGTTTACTTGTTTACTACAATCAGTACAATCAAAGAACAAACAAATGGTACAATTTAAATTGTCAATCATTGATTAAAATGATTAAATACATGAACTGGAATGGACACTGTTATAATATACAATATATTTAATCAATGCTACAATCAAACCACAGAATATATGAAATATATAATATACCTATATATTTTATATATTTCATATATTCTGTGATCAAACTATGTTCAACACATAGATATTATATAATATTATATATCTATGGTTCAACACGACAGTAATCTACTATCACAAAACTGGATGATTATATATATTGGTGGTAATCAATTTGAGCTGTTTGAGGTTATGCTACTTTAGTTCTCTTATTTAGATTACTTTGTAAACATAAACACGTTTTTTGATGAATTTATTAGTATTTCTGTTATTWTTTTTAATTTCATATTAAAATGCCCATGCAAAAGAAAAAGGTATGTAAAAGTTCTAATAATAACGTCAAAATGTATTACTATTCATGTATATTTTGTTCAGTTTCAATCTGGTGAGGGAGCCAGATATGTCACAAGACGAGCAGCTTTAAATAAACTCCAGCTATCGTTGAAAGATTTTCGTACACTATGTATAATAAAAGGGATTTATCCAAGGGAACCAGCTCACCGTCGGCGAGCTCAGAGAGGAAAGAGTGGTATTCATATTCTGTATTTGAAAAAAGATATATTGTTTCTATTGCACGAACCCATGATATGGAAATTACGTGAACTTCAAGTAAGTTCGATTTAAGAAATATATATTTTTCATGTTCTTAACAATTTTCATTTTTAGGTGCACTTGAATCGATTACGTCGTGCAAAAGGAATGCATCAAAAAGATTTGATTAAACGATTTTCGAATACTATCCCACGTGTTGCCATTGATCATGTAGTGAAGGAACGATACCCAACGTTCATTGATGCATTACGTGATATGGATGACGCTTTAACCCTTTGTTGTTTGTTTGCCACTTTTCCAAAGTTAAAAAGCATTCCTCCCAACTTAATTGCATTATGTCGTCGCCTTACTATTGAGTTTATGCATGTGTGCATTGCAGCACGTGCTTTGCGTAAGGTTTTCATATCTATTAAAGGGATTTATTTTCAAGTTGAAATAAAAGGCCAAACTATAACTTGGGTTATCCCTCACAATTATCCACATGAAGTAAGATTTTCATATTTTTCCAACTAAATTAGGTGTGTAATAGTAACAATGAACTTTCTTTTAGCCACAAAAAAAGCAAGAGGTTGATTTTTATACTATGGCCACATTTGCAGATTTTTACTCAACTGCATTAGGTTTTGTRAATTTCCGTCTTTACCACAATTTAAACCTTTACTATCCTCCACGACTTGGTTTATACAATGGTGATTATTTTGATTCCTTGCATGTTAAATGGTATTAAATATAATTTTTYCTTAGCTGAAAGACTTGAAGAAGAAATTTTAGAAGAAAATGAAACAAGTGATCGTGTAGCTGCATTAAATTTACCATTACAAAAAACTGCAGAAGATGTTGAAGATCCAGCAGATGCAGAGTTAGATCTAGATACTTTTGCAACGGTATAACATAAATTTAAGTGTATGATTAAATGTGAGATTTATTTATATTTATTTTTATTCTAGGATGGTGATGAATCAAAAGCTGAAGAAGCACGTAAAGAATATGAGAAAGTAAGAAAATTAAAGAAACTATTTGAAGGTCTTAAAGTATTTTTAAACAGAGAAGTTCCCAGAGAGCCTTTAGTATTTGCTCTCAGATGTTTTGGAGCTCAAGTATCTTGGGATGAAACCACATTCCCCGAAGGTGCTACATTTCCAGAAACTGATGAAACTATTACTCATCAAATAGTAGACAGGCCTGATCTTGAGAAACAATACATTTCTAGGTAATTTGAATTATTTTTATATATGTAATTAATTGTTTTAGTTCAAAGTTAAGTATAGTTACTAAACAATTAACCACAACCTTTTGTCCTACATATTGCAAATATCCTGTTTGTATTATATTGTATTGGCTATTTGCCTGTTAATAAAATTTAATGAGCTACTGATATTTGTTGTTACTATTATGCTATAATATACAATATTATTATCAATATTTATAACTTTATTTATAAATATTGATAAATACCTAATAATTATAGCAGTAATTACTTATTTTACAACATCAATATTAACCTAATTACTTTATAGGTACTATATTCAGCCACAGTGGGTATTTGATTGTGTAAATGCACGTGAACTTCTTCCAGTTGAGAAATATTTTATTGGCACACCATTACCTCCTCATTTGTCACCATTTACAGTTGAATATCGTACACAACGTTATGTGCCTCCTGAAGAGAAAGCTTTAACTGACCCATCTGTAATAGTTAATAAAGGTAACAGGTTTTTTTTTGCAATAATAAATTTATATTAATTACTTTTTAATTTTTTATAGATCAAGAATTGTTGGATGAAATTTCCGATAATGATATTGAAGATATTGAAGATGATAAAAAAGAATCTGAAGATGAAACCATGGATGCTGATGATGAGGATCTAGATGAATTTGATGGTGAAATGACTGAAGAAAAATTAGCTGAAATTAAAGTAAATACTTGTTYTATCTTATTATTTTATATTTATTTTGATACATTTTTTTTCAATTATTTAGCGTAAAAAGATGAAAGTGGAGTTAGGTACACCAGAAGTGATTAATAAAGGAAAGCTCAGACGTGAAAATCATCAAATGAAACTCCTTAAAGAAAAAATGATTCAAAAGAAATACAGAAACTTATATAAAAGTATGAAGTCTGGTAGAATGAAGAGAGAAAAAG